CCTGTTGATAACAGCTGTGCAACTGGTTGTTGACCCACCAGATACAGTTGTTCCTCTTTCAACCTTTCTACCTCAATGGCAGCACTGAGGGGAAAACCACTTAGGCACCCTATCTGTCACTTGCACCCTATCAGTCAAGGGAAAACAGGAACAGATCCAACATGCCAGCCCAGCAGCTGAGAAAATGTCAAAGTCTGTCCTAACCATAGAACAAAGAAATACGTACATAGGAAAAAAAAAAAAAAGGGAGACCAAACATTTTAGTTGGTAACTCATGCAAACCATGCCGCATTTGCAGTACGTTTTCTGACCACATAGTCAACTACTTTGTCTCAGAGAAGGGGACAACAGCAGCTGGAGAGCAGGAACAATTCTAATTACTTTGAGAGATTATCTGCCCATCCCTTAAGTCAGGCAGCTCTAGCAGGGAATCAGAACAGAACCAAAGTAGAATTTTTTTTTTTTTTTTTCCCCACCAGTTTCATGAGATCCTAATAATTACTGCTTAGAAATAGACAGAAATAGAAGTGAGAATAAAGATCCCAGACAGAAGTGAGAAAAAAAGTTCCAGACAGCAATGCTGCAATGCTGCTCTTTTTGCAACTTTACAAAGGTGAGATCTTTTTTTCCAACATACTCGAAAACATCTCATTAACATTACTTGTACATTTCTGAAAATGAATGAAAAGAAGCTACAGACCCCATCACACTTTCTGCTAATTTGGATACAATTCTTTCAACTGCAGCCAGGTGAGGATGAATGTATCTGGTTATACAGTTATTGCAACTCAATTTAGGTTTCCCAGCAGGTAAGGCAACTTTGTATTGTTTGCCCCAAGCAGCCCAGGCAGTCTGTCACCATGACACGATTGGTTGCCCTATACTTTCGATGCGCACAGGGCCATGAGATGCAGTGGTAGTACTTCCCTCAGCAGGTAATAGGTAATACGAAGGGCTGCTTCCAACAGCATGATGATATGAAGCTATGGCAGTGGGGATGGGAAAGTGGAAGCAGTTGGTACCTCTGTTCTCCCTCAGAGAATGTGAAAAAGACACTGGAAAAAAAGTGTGCGCATGCAGAAAGCACTCAGATCCAATCATTTCCTACCTTGTACATTTTGGTGGTGATTGCTTAAGATCAAAACTGCAGTCATAATGGAAATAGATTATGTGGTGAGATCAGATACTTAGGAGTATGTCTATTAGGAAGTGCAGGAATTTAAACGCTATTTTCTTAAGTCAAGAAATATCCTTGGGGAAAGAAGCTAGGTAAGCTTCAGGCAAAAATGTTGCTGCAAAATTCAGAGGAAAGCATTAAGAATGCTTTTTCTGTGGTTCTTCCTAGCTTAATACTGGAAAGAAATATTTATTCTGTGATTTTTACTTCCTGTCGTATGAGTCAATGCCAGGAATTTATTTGTTTTAGATCAGTTCTCAATTCTCACAGATTATTCAGAAAACCATCCACTAAATCTACATCTGTATTGTTTCTCCTACACTTTCCTTTGTTACAGCACAAAACCTCACGAGTTACCCCAGTATTTCATGCAAGAGTTTCCCGATGAAAACTTGCCTTTGAGAAACATAACTAATATTGACCTTCATGTACAATAGAGAACCCAACTTTTTTTTTTTAAATTTGTGCCAGCATTTGAGTAAAACCACAGTAACAATCAATACTACAGAGTCCAGCTGAATCCAGGAAAGAAATAATACCTAATATGCACCTTCATCTCTCCACTGGACTTTCCATCAGACTTGCATTAGATAGATGCACTTAGGGCTCTCCCTTGCCCAGCTTTGTTGCAAATTTAATTCAATAAAGAACTTGCACATTGAACTTATAAGGAATCAAATTAAGTGGCAGAATAATCACACACTCTGATGAGCAGCAGTGCCTTTTTAGGAAGGAGTAAACTAGACCACTTTGCAGGTGAATTATACCACAAGCAATTAAGTTACAAGCTGCTTCAAAGAAACCAATGTACAAGAGGACAAACTGAAAGAAACCATGGCTGTTGAGAGAGATACTCAAATGTGAATGAGTTAAGGCTGATCCAAGGGGAGAGAAACCTACTGAATCATTTCCTTGATCTGAAGTGAAGCACAGTCACTAAAATTTTCATTGATCAGATAATTGATAATTATTTTCTTGCAGAGATATTACAATGAAAAAGAACTCTTTGGAACTTCTTTTCAAGGCCCAAAATCTAAGTATCTCCCATTCTCATGAAACAAGTTCGAAGTACGTACACTTTAACTACAGTTCTCCACGGAGTAAGAAAAAACAGCAAATATATTTATCTTCTTGTGTTAACTTAAGGATTCCAAAGTAACATTTAAAGGTAGATGTTATTTCAAAGATAAGTGTCAGTGATTCACCGAGGTATAAAAGAAATCTCTAAAGACCTGGGAACAGAAGCAAAATCAGATGAATCCTGAAGCATTCTCTAGCCACCAGGAAATACTGCTTAATTACTTTAGTTCATATTTACATTTTGCATAAGAAAACAGAAATATTTAAATGACTCCTAATCTAATGATAGTGTGCTAATGACCTGAGCTAAGCACTAGCGGTATTACTGAAGATTTGTGCGTTAATTAGAAAGACATTCAATAAGTCAGCAGACCACTTCACAGAAGACAGATGCTTGCTATGATGTTATAACCAAGCTCAATTCATTAAAAATGAGATCCCAACTTCCTTGTAATAAATAAAAAGTAGTAATTAGCAGCACAGATACCAAATATTTAGGAAGAATCTGACTAGTTGATACAAGCCATACGGCTTGGTCTGAAACAGTCTCAGCAAAAGGAACGTTTTCAGAACATCGCTTGGTGTTCTCAACAGAGAGCCCATCAGTAGCTTCATTATTTTGTTAACAAAGTTATACGACTCAATTAATCTTCACAGGCAGGTGTTATTTCAGGGAGAAATTAAGTGTATTGCAGCTCACAAGCAAAATCTCTCCTTTGATAAGGGATTTCAGTTACTCATAAAATCTCAGATGGAGAAGCTTTAAGCATTTCAGGCAGCAGGAGACAAAGGCCTGTGATTTAAGAAATATGCCTTTTCAAGTTTGATCTTAGGATCTTGCTAGAAATGACAATTTCTGGGATTAGGGAATATCTCTATCATCCCCACCCTTTATTTTAGATGACCCTTTGAAGCCTAACAATCTTAGTGATGTGGATAGGTAACACCAGTGCCAGGATCAGGGCTATATTAGCTCCTCCGGTTACTATTAATTGCAGCTACTAGACATTAGGGTCATACAACCATTCAGGCTCGAAGAAACCTGAGAAAGGGTTTAATCCAACCTCATGCCCACAGCAAGGTCAGCAATGAGGTCAGGTCAGGTTGCTCAGGGCTTTAGCCAGCCAGGTCCTGAAAACATGCAACAGAGACTGCACAGTCTCCCTCGATAGGTAATCTATTTCACTGCTTAACTGCCCTCACAACGAAAAAGATTATCCAGCCTGAACCTCTTTGGTTTCACTGTATGCCTTTTGCTCTCCCACCATCTGCAGGGAGCAATGAAAAACCTAGCTTTGCCTTCACAATAGCCCCCTTGCAGATAGAAGAGGGCTGCTGTCTGGGTCAGCTGAAGCCCCTTCTCCAGGCTATTTTGAGCCCACTTCCCTCAGTCTCTCCTGTGGGTCAAGTGCCTCCGCACATAGCTGGCCCTCCACTCTACTCACTCCAGTTAATTAACTTTATTCTTGAATTGGGCTGTCCAAAACTGAACAGTATTCCAGATGTAATCTCACAAATACTGAGGAGAACAATTGCTTCCCCTAAACAACTGACTGCGTTTCTGGGGTTAACATAACCCATTATGCTTGTGGTGATTCTTGCTGCTGCCACATTTACCTTGCTGTTTACCAAGATATCCAGGTCCAGTTCAGGAGAACTGATCCCCTGGCAATCAATCCTCAGCCTGTATCTTTGCGTGGTATTATTCCATGCAAAGAGCAGGACTTCACATTTTTCCTTATTGAACTTAATGAGGCTTCTATTTGCTCATTCCAACAGCTCAGGTCTACCTGACACATCCACTGTATCAACTGGTTCCACTGTCCTGGTGATGGGATTGCTGTCTGTCACTAGCTACTGGACACTGATGAAGACATTAAATGGAACAAGCTCTTGTATGCTTTGATACTCCACTTATTACCGACCTCCAGATGCAGCGTGACCCATTAAACCCTATTCTCTGAGACCAATTACACTCCTTCCCCTTTTTTCTTCTTTTACTCCACCTAGTTTTCCATCCAGCTCAGAGTGTCGTAGACAGCAGACTGCTTCTGTGGAATGAATACTGAAACAAATATTAAACTCATAAGACTAAGCAAAATCCTTAAGCTGCTTGGATACTAGAAAATTTGCATAGCACAGAATGCAACTTCAACTTTTGATATGTACTCCTGAAAATGTGAACTATGCTTTTTTTAATTAATAAATGTCAGTTATTAGTAAATGTTTGCTATTCTATATCCCAGATACAAGCATTTAATTATATAATGGCACAGACGAAGAAGAAAAGGTTTATATTAAGCTTGATGAATGGTAACATACTAAAGATAAACTGTAAAATCTAATAAAGTGTGATACATTCTGAAACTGTTGACAATTTGTAATCATTTTAACCTTTAACTTCAGTATCTGAAAGAAAAAATGCAACATAAGGACACAGTCTCACACAATCGTTTCCAAAGAATTTGGCTTCCCATGACCTATAAGCCTCTCATCTCCGCTCCCACACAAACCCTATTCTGAGGATAGTATGTGCTCTATATCTTTTAAATGTATTTTCAGCAAAAATGGGCACATTCCTTGGACAGCTGGAGAAAAATTAAATTGCCAAGTGGGGAAACTGTCCACTGAGTATTCAAAAGAAAACAATTTTCGAAAAATGTCATATTTAAAAATAGTTACAAAGTTGTATCTGTTATAAAAAGAAAAGAACATACATGTGCTTGAAGTAGAGAAGACTTACTGTATCATGTTGCCTGTTATCTTTCCCTGATATGATCAAGAAGTAGTTCCATGCCAACAGCAACAACAAAGCCAGTGGTATCATGTAGAGCTCAAAGTTCCAGACCACAAAAAGGAAAAGCTAGAAGACAGAACAGGAAGAAATGTGATTCAGCTCAGCATTACACTAAGCTCTTCAGGATGGTTAAAATCAAGATCAACAAATTAAAATGATTCTAAAGTAATGATTCTAAATCACATCTATTTAGGCAGGTAAATTGTTTAAACATTTTGCTGAGTGGCCACTTACCTGTGTAAAACAACTACTAGCTATTTTATAGCTTTGTAGTTTCATTTTTGCAAAGGAATGTTGCTATAGTGTAGCCTGAAGAAATGTTAATTTTTTTCTCATTAAAAATGCTCATTTGGACAAAATAAACCAAAATGGCATAAAAATAAGATCTCAGCATAATAAAGAAAAGGTTGGTTATTTCTACAGTTGATTTGCTGTTCAAAATACGGAACTCGATAACTTTGTAGTAATGTCACACAAACGGGAATAAACAAATCTGAAAAATTCCTTTGTACAGAAAAACCACGCCAAAAAATCACAGTAACAGGGAAATGGTGTTAAAGTATTTTAATCAAAAGAATGTAAAATAGTGATGATCTCAGTATCACAAGAAATGGGACTGAAGGGCATGCTAAGAAACTGCCCATGTCTACTCGTCCAACAACGTTTACTTGCTCAATTTGAAGTGTTTCCTCAAAACATCCTGAATGTTGTTCAGCACAGTGTGGCCAGGTCACATCTCCCACAGATGTGAGCCATGACATGCAGGGCTGCCTCTGGCACCGTAGCATGGAGATTATGCTCCAGCAGGACCCATCTCCACCGCACAGGTGCAGGGCTGTGACGCGCTCCTTAGGGTGAGCTTTAGCCTCAGGTCTGTCAGATATATCAAGCAGTACAGAGATGACTTTGTGGAGCCTGGAAACCCTAAACATTTGTTAGATGCTGCAGCCATCTGTCATCTGGACAGATACTGTTCCTTTTTGATTCCAGAATGAAATTATTGGTTTTCGAGAAAGAATTAAGAAATCTGGATTAGACAGGGTGAAGCTAAACACAATTCTACATCTCATTTCACTTATGAACAACCCCCCTTTTAATTTTAGACAGCTATTGCCATAGCCTGGGGTTGTTCTCTTAACATATGGCCAAAAAGCACAGATGAAAGTATTACAGCAAATCACGTTGCTTACTGTAGCTGGACATACACTTAAGTTTCAGAAATCTTGCTAAGTCATTTTCATCCAACTAGATAAGCTTTGGAATATTTCTACTTTTATTATCAACTGACCAAAGGTGTTGTGTCACAGAATTGCAAACCTAAAGCCTCGTTGCTCATTCTGCTAAATCACTCATGAAGATGTATATACATTTAAATAAGAGGAAAATAAGCATTTCAGTATGTATCCCTATTTAACAGCCTTCTGTTGGATTTCTGTTTTGAGTTAGAAAAAAATCTTACCAAATACTTCCACATATAAAAAATAAAATAAGAATCTGTATTTTAAGTAATTTTCTGTCTCCAGATCAACTAACCTATCTTACTCCCCAAATTTCTATCACTGAATGCTGTACGTACAGAAGTCCTGTGAGTCTGCAAGAGAAATACAATAAATACTGAAAGGACTGAAAAAGCTCTGTGTATGACATATGTAAGAGGATACTGGCACTTCTAACAGTTAATATTTCATTTGAAAGAAAACCATCTTTTTTAGGTTGTTTAGTTTAAAAGGAAATCTGTTAGGAATGGTAATGAATAAGAAGCAAACAACAGCTCACAGATTTTGAGAGTTCTTCCACTAGCTTTCTAACTACCCTTTTGAGAGCAAGATCTGCAGGGACTTGATGCTGTAAATTTGATATAGCCAATTTGAACCAGAATTCACATCTCAAAAGCAAAGCAAAAAATCCCTGCACCCATTAACCCCAGAAATGCCCTGAGTCAATGGATACATGCTGAAGGGGGCTTTGGAAGTCAGCAAACAGTATCCAACCACCATTAAAGAGGGCCCCAGAGATTAACAGTTCAGGAATGGCAATACATAGAGTCCTCCTTATGTTCCCATCCTACTTTTGTTAAAAAGCTGGGAAAACAAACAAACAAACAAACTTCAAATAATATTCCAGGCTCCAGAGAAATAAAATCAGCAACCTAGATGGTCTCAGGAGATACTGACCAGACTGGAGACTGTGGAACATGGTCATCATGTAGCTTGTACTTTAGAACATCAATGAGTTCTCATTCAAATACTCCTCATCTGAGATTTCTACATGTGAAGTGATCCTTAAGGTCATTAATTCCTTCAAAAACTGTAATCTGTAGGCTAGTAAGATATTATACTAAGATACTACCTTTTTATGGCTTCTATGGACATATCTTTCCATAACGTGACTATTATTCCTGCCGTTTCCTTCAGATGATTTTGTTGACCTACCAGCCTCATTTCCACTTAGTGCGGATGAATTTTAATCAGTTTTTCCTTTTAGGCACCTGTCTCAGCCAGACACCAGGAAAACAGAGAATCTGTATTTGCAACACAAATGAGGTATGTGCTGCAGGAGGCTAGCACAGTGATGGCACTGCAAGTGAAATAGGCTCACTATCTTCCCAGAACAAAACTGGATTCACAGAAATACACAAGGGAGAAAACAGGAAGATTCCCAGCCGTAAATAAAAGTTTTCTGTGAACATGAATAATCCCAAAATCTATTGCAGGACAGAAAGAAAATCCAAGGGCTTAGCCATAACACATAAAGGACTTAATGCTTATGGGGAAAGGGAAGAAGCAGTGTGTACTAAACTACTTCCTTAACTTCATTTCATCCATAAAGGCAAGGAAAGTCTACATATCCATCCAATGAAGACATACAGGCAAGAAAAATAAATAAATAAATAAATAAAATCCAGGAAAACTAAGAACAGATATAAAAGGGCTGGTCAGGATTTGTCCATGCTTCTAAAACATCCACTGGAACATGGATTCTATCTGTTTCACTCTCTATCAAAGAAATAATGGCTCTAACTTTGCTTAAAAAAAGATCCGTATCATAACTGAAACAACCCAACTATTTTAAGGGAGGAGTAGGTGTCTCAAAGGTTATGGTTTAATATAGCTGCCATCTCCTACATAGAAGACGATAAGGGAAGACTTTTTTCTGAGATCAAGATTTTTATAGTCGCAGGCATGAACTGGCCATTTACAACATCACATCAGTTGATAATCTTAGCAAGAGACACACGCATTAAATGATCATTCAGGGAGACACATGACACTATCCCTGGTGTACAACACTTCAAAAAATAATTTAAGTTGGAATATTGAATAACCTATTCTTTTGCAAACTACGGTATATTTTAAAAAGAAATCTCATCCAAAGTGATTAACACTTCCTACTGTTCAGAAAAAAAGCCTGCCCTTTCAGACTAGCAGCTGTGGATCATTAGCTTTCCAGTGATGAGATGTGTTTGATGAGTATTTTTCTTTCTAATTAAGAGATGAGATCCTCTATTTGACTCTCTCTTCAGACAGAAGTGAAGAGAAAAATTTCTGCCTATGTGGAAAGGCCATATTCTACAGAACAATCATTTCAGATTTCTTTTTATCTACCTCCACCCAATTTCATTTCATTTTTCACAGAACCCTGTTTGCACCCGCAGACTTCCCAGCATTAACCCTTGTGTTTCCTAGCTCCTTTTATGTTTCCTTTTAACTACCAGCAGAAAAAAAGCATAAAAAAAAAGAGCATTCCAGACAACAGATATGCACACACCTTCAGGTGCAGCAGGGAGTAGCTCACAGCTGAAGGAGAAGGGCTGCAAGCACAATTGTTTGAGAACATTCTGACAAAAATTAAGAAACTCTCTCTTCACAGAAAAGCCTGGCTTCAGAGAAAATCACACAACAGAGCATAAGATGCTTCCAGTTGACAAGCTGGAAGCTTTCCAGAACCTGCAGCCTTACAGCAACCTTGATATCTGGATTACCTTGTAGCAAAGAAGTAAATGGAGTTCAACAGCATGCCAGCCTTCAAGCTTTGAGGGCTTGTCACTGCCGTGACTGGGAACTGGAAGCCTAAGGAGATGAATCACTCAGTGAGTCCCAGGCTGACACTGCAACCATGCAAATCTGCATTCACAGCACCCAGAGTCACAGGCTGTAAGGTGTTCAGCAGTGAGGTGAGATATGGCCGTTGTCGTCACTACCATGTCAACAGTGCATGTCACTCAGACCACAGCCCCCTCTTCTAGTTAGAGCTTTCTTCATCTTTTAAAGAGGATTCTTACAGCCTCATTTATTTATTATCTATATCCATTCACTGTCTACTTTACTCAACTCCTGATTATCCTCAAAATTCAAAAGTTGGCTGTATGGAGTTTTGGCACAATCACAAACAGAGCCTGTGCCTGCAACTCCAGTGTGCTCTAATCACAAGATCATCCATTTACCCTTTAAGCTTAAAAGGACAATTGTATTTCCTGAGGCTTTGTCGCTTGGATGTATTCTCAGAAGACTGGGAAGAATGAAAGATAACCTACATATCTGCATAGTACAGACTTCCTATTAAGTACTGCAGGTTTTAAGGCTCCAGTAAAATTCTGCATTATATTTACGCTACAAAAAACTTAAATATAACTTTCATTGTAACTTCAAGACTCAGACTCAGCAGCATCTTCTAGTAAAAAAATTAGTCTGTCATCTCTGACGATGATGGCTTCTCATCTTGTATGACACTTCCATTTAAATAAATTTAGCTATTTCACATCCTCAACATACTAGTATTAATGTAAACGGATACAGAAGTTCATTTAGACCATGATACCCTTGCGACTTCCGAATATATCATAAAGCATCTTCCAGCAGTTTTTTCTTTTAAACTTTCTTTAAATTCCATTTCCAACTACTTGGGTGCTGGTAGAGATAGGCTTTGAAAGATATGAATCTAAAACACGCATTACTCAATTTCTTTCAAAAGGCAAAAGTCAACTTATGTCTATGCTATTTTGACAAGTACATGTTGGATTAGTAGTGGTTCTCCTTTTCAATTGGCAGAGGCCTTAGAAGTCTGAG